AAAAAGATAAACTATGCAATAAAATAGAAAATAATGAATTAAAATTGAGTGAATGAAAGTGCAAACAAGCTTTTAGAAAAATAGAGACAGTTTAGACAAGAATAATCATTTAATTCATGAAATCAAAAATCGTGATTTTTTCTAAGTTGGTGCTTCACCAGGACACAAGCTGATAAGAAGAGATGACGAGCAGTGAAGGAGAAGCAGACCTCTTAAATAAAGATGGAGATGTTTGTCGATGGGAGGAGGCGTCACCTTAAACAAAGCGTGGATCTGTCAGAGAGACCAGGATTTATGATGTTATTAATCATTACCAATATAACCATGATGCAGAAAAAGCAAACAATACCAGCTGGCTGCTCTGCTGTATATTAAATCTTTTTATGGTATTCCGCACTATTGGGCGACTGCTTTGTTCATGAAACCCCTGCCTCCAACATCTATGGGGAAAATACTGTCTTTGATATCATTGTTTTGGTGCTCTGCTGCCAGTTCTGCATTGTTTTGGCATTTACTACAGTCATGCCCTCTTTATAGGGCACTGTAAGGTTGATAATGGGGAGCCTTGTGTCTGCTGCAGACCACATCAACATGTCTGTTTGGAGAGTCATGTGCGGGAAGACCAACTGTTTCCTGAGGTCCACCAGGTCCACCATCTGCCAAGCTTTGCCCGGTCAGAGTGTGCTGCCTCTCTGCTATGGCCCCTGCCATAAGAGTTGTGGTTGCTGTTGAGAGTGAGACCTCCTCTTGTCTCACATCTGTGTCTTTTTATTCATGAACAGACCAGGAGCATTACATTGGGACACCAGGAGGCTCGGGATTGACTGGACCAGCAGAAGAGGCAGTATTTAAACACCCTCTTCCACCGGTGTACGGTGGGGAGTCATCTTTTTGTGCCAGAAGAGCCTCGTTGTCCCTGAGCAATCTTTGGTCCTGTGTTCAGAATAGTTGTTGGAGTTGCACATTAAGCGTTTGCTGAGACTCTCTTTGATAGTGTTTTGATACAAATAATGTACAAGTTTCTTAGTGAGATTTTGGGTTAGTTTTGGCAAAAATGAGTTGCTCACCCACTAATCTCACTTTGTAGTACAGCCCTCAGGGCCATAGCATAAATTGGGGGCTCGTCCAATTTTTAGTCGGCCTTAGATTCTTCAGGCACAACTTGGCTAAGCCTCAGTGCTTTTCTTGTCGTCTCCAGGTGAGCTGGTGTGAGTTTTCTTACTTGCCAGTAAGAGCTTGACCAACCACCACCATGCTGCACATCGTTGTCCCAAGACCTCCAGGACACACCCGCAACGGAAAGTCTGCTCTCAGGACTGATGACCCAGAGGAAATGGATGGAATTCAGGTGACCATTACAGAGGCAGTGTGTCTGGGGGCTAGCCTCGCCCTCTCAGGTATCTGCTACTGCCACTGATCACTGATCTCTGTAGTTAGATCACAGTATATGCTCTGTCTAATGGGGGAAAAAAACGTGTCTGACTGTCATAATGATGTTGTTTTCAACGACCCTATATACAACAACAGCATAGAATTACTGAAATCCAGCTGACTTTTAGCTTTAGGATGCCACCTCAAGATTTTCAGTGGCCCCATCTTGCCACCTCAGTGAAAAATGTCTGTCCTCTGTCTTCAGCACAAAACTGCAAAATTACATGTTTAACCAAAGAAACTGAAAAGAAGTCTGATCACGTTTAGAAGCACATTCTTTGGTCAAATGAGACTAAGATAAATTTGTTTTTCTCAGATGGGGTCCAACATGTTTGTGGTGAACTAGGTTAGGACTACCACAGTGAATACATAGTCCGGACAGTGAAGCACAGAGGCGCATGTGTGCAATAGGTGTAGGGAGATGGCATTTATGTCTTTTGAGATACCGTAATCCTGGCTGAAAGCATGACTCCCAGTCTGCAGAAGTTTGGCTGAAGAGGAATATTCCAGGATGATAACATTTAAAAGCACACTGCCAAACTCACACAAGAGTTTCTGAAGAAGAAAAAGTGAAAAACTGTGACAAGTATGTTGTTTGACTCAACCAATGAAACACCTTTAAGGTATTTTAAAGAGAAAAGATTGAGCAACACAGCTTCTTCAGCAAAGAGTGACTGAAAAAAAGGCAGAGCATCTCCAGGAATTGTTGTCAATGTTATTTATGTACAGAATAAAAAGAGGTGGGCCGAGGATAGAGCTCTGTGGCACCCCANTGGAGAGTCATGTGCAGGAAGACCAACTGTTTTCTGAGGTCCACCAGGTCCACCATCTGCCAAGCTTTGCCCGGTCAGAGTGTGCTGCCTCTCTGTTACGGCCCCTGCCGTAAGAGTTGTGGTTGCTGTTTTCTGTGGGAGAGTGAGGCCTCCTCTTGTCCACATCTGTGTCTTTTTATTCATGATCAGGCCAGGAGCCTTACATTGGGACACCAGGAGGCTTGGGATTGGCTGGACCAGCAGAAGAGGCAATATTTAAACACACTCTTCTGAGGGTGTACGGTGGGGGGTCATCTTTTTGTGCCAGCAGAGCCTCGTTGTCCCCGAACAATCTTCGGTCCTGTGTTCAGAATAGTTGTTGGAGTTGCGTGTGAAGACACTGAAAACTGTGTCTGGGGGCTAGCCTCGTCCTCTCAGGCATCTGCTACTGCCACTGATCACTGATCTCTATAGTTAGATCACAGCATATGCGCTGTCTAATTGGGGAAAAAAATGTGTCTGACTGTCATAATGATGTTGTTTTCAACTACCCTATATACAACACAAGCATAGAATTACTGAAATCCAGCTGACTTTTAGTTTTAAGATGCCACCTCAAGATTGTCAGTGGCCCCATCTTGCCACCTCAGTGAAAAATATCTGGCCTCTGTCTTCAGCACAAAACTGCAAAATTACATTTTTAACCAAAGAACATGAAAAGAAGTCTGATCACGTTTAGAAGCACATTCTTTGGTCAAATGAGACTGAGATAAATTTGTTTGTCTCAGATGGGATGCAACATGTTTGTGGTGAACTAGGTTAGGACTACCACAGTGAATGTATAGTCCAGACAGTGAAGCACAGAGGCGCATGTGTGCAATAGGTGTAGGGAGATGGCATTTATAGATGAAAGTCTTTTGATACACCGTAATCCTGGCTGAAAGCATGACTCTCAGTATGCAGAAGTTTGGCAGAAGAGGAATATTCCAGGATGATAACATTTAAAAGCACACTGCCAAACTCACACAAGAGTTTCTGAAGAAGAAAAAGTGAAAAACTATGACAAGTATGTTGTTTGACTCGAATCCAACAGAACACCTTTAAGGTATTTTAAAGAGAAAAGATAGAGCAACACAACCTCTTCAGCAAAGAGTAACTGAAAAAAAAGGCAGAGCATCTCCAGGAATTGTTGTCAATGTTATTTATGTACAGAATAAAAAGAGGTGGGCCGAGGATAGAGCTCTGTGGCACCCCATCCCCAGAAGCAACAACGACAGAGTTCTCACCGTAAGGCAGGCATGGAAACAAACTGAGTAGGATATTATCTAGACCTGTGTGTACTGAAGCATGTGTGTAAGGTTGTTCTTTACTTGAGAAATTTAATTTCCTGCTACTTTGTACGTCTGCTTGTCTACAAATAGAGTTTCTTGTTATTACCATCTCCACTGTTGTTCTGCTTACTGTGTGTGTGTCACTGGGCTTCGGGAAGGTTGGGGATTAACGGGGATAATGTCAAAGACGACAACAGTAATGCTAATCTCTGTCTGCTGCTGCACTCCCAGCCGCTCATTACACACAGGAGTGTCAGACGAAGTGCTAAAGTATTAATGACACGACAATTATCCAGTCACAGCGGTAGCACTTCAACATGCTGCTGCCACTGCTGCATGAGTGTCCTTGAAACAATCTGTAGTTGATATTTAGTATGATAAACATATTTGTTTAACAGCAGCTTTGTCATTGTGGTCAGATACAGTAAAAGCCAGTCTTCACACATTACAAAATCACTGCAATGTGGGGTTTTTTGTTTTTGTTTTGCTTTTTTTTCTGTTGTTAAGTGAATTTCTGACTTGGTTAAAAACCCAGAATATTCCATGTTGGGTAGATATCAGAAATAATATGAAATTCATTTGACAGCGTGTGTCCTTCTTTGCATTTTTGAATGTTTCCTTTGCACGGCTTATAATAAAGATTTTGTCACCAAGAAACAGCTTAAGCCACCATTTGTGTGTCTGTAGTTTTGTCTTTTTGAGCTTGTTTGTTTTATATGAATTTTTTTCCTAATCATTAAGTATCTGTAGGCTGTTGTGTGTCTTTGGTTTGTGTTAATTTGTATGTCTTTATGTGGTGATTTCTGTGGTGCTCTGGTTTCTTCAACTGGTGTTTCTGTCTCTTTGTAATGGTTTAATATCTTTTTTGTTTTTTCTGGTAGTTTACTGTCTGTTTTTCGTAGTTTTGTGTATATCTATAGTGGTATTCGGTCTCTTTTTGGTAGTTCTGTGTCTTTTTG